TTCCACAGACGAGACCAAACTCAAGGCGAGTCAATGCTGAGTATGTGACAGCGCTTCGGAAAACAGCGCGGCAGTGCAAGTTCACAGACTTAAACGATAGACTCCGTGAGAAGTTAGTTTGTGGCCTGTGGGTCAAAAAGTTACTATGGCCCCAGTCATATGGGCAGGACAATGTGGGGGGAAAGCGTGGCTGTTTGCCCCGGGGCAAAATAACACATGGTTGCGTGAGCAGACGTCCCGTGGAGGTCCCGTGGAGGTTCCATGGTTAGGGGAAGGTGCCGATCACAGGACAATCCTGCGGTGCTGCAAAGAAGCGGGGCCGCGGGGCAAACGGGGTTGTGATTTTTTTGTTAAACTAAAGTGTGCGCATGCTCCGTTGGGTGCTTGTGCGCATCCGTGGAGACTTGGGGGGGGAACCCTTTTTGCGAGGGAACATGGGCGGGCACCGAAACTACCACTGGATCAGACGCCCGCCCATGCCCCGCAGTTTCCGGAAACTAGTACCTCGGAGGTACCAGTTTTTTACAGCGCATCTTTGAAGTGAAGCCTCGGGTGAGCCACGGGAGCTCTACGCTTCCCAGATGTGGCGATGAGATCGCGCCTGGAAAATCTGCCTATTTTCCGTCTCTCTAGCGTTCCTAATGCTCCGTGTGACCGCAGCCAATGATGGCTTTTCACCACAAAAGGACTTATATTGATATGAAGAAGCAATATCTGCAGAAACTGCTGACCAGTTGACCAGAGAGTGCGCGAATCCAGAATTCCACCAACGCCCCATAAGTTGCAGCCGGTGCATCAGGGGATCCTGGAAGAATCTGACAGCGAGGACGACTCAGTCTACTGAACACAGACCGAGAGGCACAAGTGCTCCAGTCAACGACCCACTCCCAGATCGCAATGTGCCAGTCATGGTGGTGACCCTGAGCACCGTAAGTGTAGGTTCCACGAGGCCCAGTGTCGGGATTGCAAGAAGGTTGGACACCTTGCCCGGGCCTGCTGCTCGTCTTAAGCCAAGATGTCACCCAGAACATCTCATAGTAGACTTCAATCGTCATCAAGGGACACTACTGCATCTACCGGCTGCCACTCAATGAACAACTGCATCTCCCACTTGTCGGTGTACAGCACTCAGCTCCAAACAAAAAACAAAATCAAAGTGACTGTAGTCCTCTATAACGCTCCCTGCGAGATGGAGGTCGATTCAGGATTGGTGCTTACCATCATCTCAATGCAGACTGTACACCGGCTATTCCCCAGATGGAGCAAACGACAGCTCAAGTCTGGCAAGTTCCACCTCATTGATTTCCAGAGACAGCGCATTCCCGTTGCAGGAATTGGCACATTCATGGTTTGAAGTTCTACGGCCAACTGAGCATTGTAGTGGTCAAAGGACATCATCCCAGTCTCCTGGGATATGATTAGTTTGATGCTCTAGGCCTTACAGGGGTCCAGCAGATCAGGCCCCTCCGGTTCTCTCGCCAAGAATGATCCATGGGTAGGTCTTCATGTCTGCATACTGCAATGAACGGTACTATGGGTCAGAAAAAGCCATCGCTCATGCCGATGCATGTAGACAACTGCCAATCTGGGAACCGGACATCAACCAATCCCCTGCATGTGAAATCAGGGCGATCGAGGTACTTCCACAGCCACCCTATGATGTTGCCTCACATTCCACAAGTGATCCCATGAATTCCTGGGTCTTCAACTGGCAGACCCCTGAGTTCCAGGTTTTCAAGTTGCGTCAACACAAACTGTTGGTTCACAAGGGATGCCTGCTTTGAGGGAATCGCATGGCCATTCCCCCCCAACATCGACGCCAGGTGCTGGAGGCCCGGTATACTGCCAACCCTGCCAGGAGTGACCGCCTATGAATTGCAACACTCCCCAGGCAACTATTGGGTTGGAGACAACTCGCAACACTCCCCAGTCAACAATCGGGTCGGAGGCAGTAGTACCTCGACAACCCGTGCTGAGATCTTGCAGAACTAACACAGCTTACAGACCCTGAGAGTTCGAGCACTATGGTTCCTGACGGACCCTGACGGACCATTTCACCAATTTCAGCGGAGACCCTGTCGTGACAGCTGGGGAACTCTAACTTAGGGGGGAGGGGTGTTATGTATTTGCTTATGTGTTATGCAATGTAATCTAAACTGGAGCTTCAGGCACAAGATCCATTGACTCTCAGGTATTCTAAACACTGCAATTGGATTGGTCGCTGCTGCACAACAGACCGGAAAGACTCTGACCGACGGCAGGAACAAATCCCATTGGTCCTATACTCTCTATCGTGATTGGACATTACTGTACTAGGGGGTGTGGCCTCGCTAGTTCAAAATGTATAAAGTTGGGTCACTGTTTTTGGAAACGCTGCCTCAATCTCAGTATATAACACATACATACATACAAATATAGGGAGATCCCTTTAATTCATTATTCAGTCTATTTGGTGACCTCATACAGTATCTGAGTATATTCATTAATTTTTCCACCTTATAGTTTTCATATATACCTTTTGCTTACAGTTAAGGTTCAAGCTCCCCAACAGGGTAGTCTTGCTTCCCTCCTCTGCTCTCCACACAGTCTGCACCCTTCTGCATCTAAGGGCTCCACCCCTTCCTGGCTCATTCCATTCCTAGCCAGGAGTTACAGTAGTTTCATGGGATGTCTGCAGGCATGAAAACAGCAAATGCATATGAGAGACAAAGTCCTCCTGTTGTTCCCCAACAAGCATGAAGACTTTGTAGTGTGTAGAGATGGAGCCTCGGAAACCATAAAATGGGAAGAGGTGGTCTCTATGGTAATGCAGTGGCATGAACAATGGGAGCTAACCAGAAAATCCATCCCCTTCCACCCATGAATGGTAAACAGGCCATTTGTTATTGGAATGTTTGAAATGTATGTTGTTTGTTTATGTTTTTGTTTATGTATGTTTATGGTTTAAATTGGTTTTGTAACTGTATGGTTTGTTATCTTGTTGTAAACTGCCCTGAGCCCCGCGTAGGCAGGGAAGGGCGGTTAAGAAATCCAATGAAATAAATAAATAAATGATGTATTTGCATTATGGACAGATTTAAGCATTATGTATCAAACCCCCTCTAGATTACCTTTTCCCAAGAGATTCCCAAGAGAATATTTTTGTACAAGCTTGGAAAGTTTCAGGATGGGTACAGAAATGTGAATTTTTTTGAAAACAGAAATGAACTTTACCCTTGGGTAGCCTGAGCTTAGAAATGAGAAGTACCTACTAGCATGCAAAGTAAGAAAAACGGATAAATCAACAGTACAGGTTTTGCAGGAAAGTACCACACTTCCACAAATCATTAAAAAAAACCTTAAGGTATTAAAATTTAGATATGATTTAGGGGTTTCCCCTCACATGCTCATGAATATTAATCACAGAAGGGGGGGAAAGCCATAGATCAATCCACAATAACTCTTGTGTTGTGAGACCACACCAATGAACACACCAATGTCTAATTATAAAATATGTGCCAACCAAAGAAATGATTCACAAGACCTAGGCAAGACACAGAATATGCAAAGAAAAATCCACAGATATATGCAGATTGATCAGAGGTCTAGCACACTCCTGAATACTGCAGAGGATTGTAGAAGGAGAAGAGGAGGAGATAGGATTTATACCCCGCACTTCACTACCCAAAGGAGTCTCAGAGTGGCTTACAAACTCCTTTCCCTTCCCCTCCCCACAACAGACACCCTGTGAGCAATATTCCCTCTAAGCTGTGAAGCCTTCTGAGCAAAAATTCTACTTTGTGAGCTACTGCCATTAAAGTTGTGAGTGAGCAACTTGGCTACTGTATAAATTAGTTTGCTCTGGAGCCATCCTTCCTGAGCTAAGACAAAAAGGTGTGAGCTGGAGGTTAAAAATCTGTGAGCTAGCTCACACTAACTCAGTTTAGAGGGAACACGGCCTGTGAGGTAGGTGGGACTGAGAGAGCTCTGACAAAAACTGCTCTTTTTCAAGAACAGCTGTGCCAGAACTATGGCTTGCCCAAGGTCATCCAGCAGGTGCAAGTGGAGGAGTGGGGATTCAAACTCGGTTCTCCCAGATTAGAGTCTGCGCACTTTACGACTACACCAGTTGGCTGAAGCTGAAAGCCATCTGTGCTGACTTACAATATTGAAGCTGCTGCCAAGTAACTGTTCAGGACGGCAAAATCACACAGCTTAGATACAATTTCAGAATACTATTTTTGAGAAACAAAATGAGGTGATAATAATCATCATATAATAGAGCCATTTTGTAAATAGGCCACCACAGAATAAGACAGATGTTTTCAAACTATTCTGAAGGCGAAATTCTGTAAAGGTACCCCTGACAAAGCAGTTTACCACATCTACTGATCAATGATCTCAGATGGTACTCCACATTGTGACTGGGCTGCTAAAAACATAGCCTAGAAATCTTCTCCAGTAGGGAGGGATTCCCCAGCAAAAAAGTCCATGTAGAAAGGTTCACCAAAGGTAGGAGATGTAAAAACAAACAAAAATGGAGTGAAGTTGCTATATCCTGAAAAACACACTAATTTTATTGTTGTTTTTTTAATGTAATATTGAATATTGTAACATTCAAAAACAACTTTATTCAGGGAGCATTAAAAGGGTTTCACATTGACAGTTTAATCTTAAATGCATTTTAAGGGCATTGCAAGAAGATATTTTAAACAGTGATACTTGCAAATTGTTTGGCACCACATCAATCAAAACCTTTGTACAACTTGAACATTCTGCCCCTTCCCCCTTTGCATAGTTTTTCCAAATGCCTCCTTTGTCCGTGGCAAAGGTGAGATTTGAATCGGGGATTGCAGCTTGACACTAGACTAGATTACATCCCCACCCCCAATATGAAATATTAAATTGTTCTGTCTGACCCCTGAACAAAAGTGTTGTGCTGTCGTTCCAGCCTGGGTGCATAGAACACAGCTTTCTGCAACTATGTTTTGTCACACTTATGTTTCCTGTTTATCCCACAGGAAGTAAGAGACATGCTGCGGCAGAGAACTAAAACAGTTAAAACCCACGGCTCCTTTGCAAGTTCTTTAGTGCTAAGAGCTGCAGAACAACCCACTGTGTGTTTAGCAGCTGCAGATCAAGAAAAGAAAACCAACAAAGGTATGTTACTGGGATTAAATGTTGGCAAATGCATGCCTTTGAGAGAGTGGTATTTCAGTGCTTTTCAAAGGGTCTTTCAGCACAGCGGCCCATAAACTAGCTCATATTAATTATGACTAAGATTGATTGAAGCCAGTGGAACTAGTTATTAGTTAAGTGATTAGTGTAAGTCTAATAGCTTTAAATGCAGAGGAATTGCATGGATGGGTTACGCATGAGTAAGTCTCACTGGATTCACTGAGCAACTGTGGCTAGTCAGAGGTCCATTTATGAAAAGACAAATTGTAGCAACACATTATTGTGACAAGAGAGAGACCTTGCATCAATTGTCATGCAAACTGACTAGAACAGTCAAAAGAAGTGGGGTCAATAGCTTATTCTGGAAGGGAAATAGTTACAGGATGAAGGGAAGGGGCTTGGCCATGAAACTCATTGGATGACCTCCCATCAGTCATTCTCTCTCATGCCTTTTCCTACCTCACAGGGCTGTGGTGAGACTTGAATGCTTTAGTAGCTTTTCCCTAAAACAAGGGTGGGAATCAAATGTGATCAGAAAAGTCAGAATGGATTTTGGTTTTTGTTTACAGAAAATGTATGTTGTGTCTGATTTATTCATTCTAAAACTAAACCCAGTGCAAACATAAACAGCCCAGGTGATATTATTATAAATACTGATAGATAAAGGTGTTATTTATTATTTATTTATTTCATTCAGTTTGTATCCCGCTGACCCCCTTAGGGCTCTGAGCGGCTTACATGTTTCAATTAACCTAGGGGCACATACATATAGGGAAAGTGACAAGCCTACCAGGCACCCCTTTTTGTAGCGGATCTTCGTTGTTGTCTTTCTTGCGGGAGATAGTCCGGCGGCGTCCTCTCTGGCGCTGGTCTTTGAAGTTACGCCTTCTGTTCCCACCTTCCGGCTGTTGCGATTCCTTTTCCGGGCCTGGGCCACTCGCACTTCCGCACATGCTCGCTGCGGCCTCTGTCCAGACTAGGCTCCGGCCTGCTGTGATGCTCCGCCTCCGCGCTTGTTGGTCCGGCCTCCTTTGCTCGCTTTTTGCCTCACCAGCTGCCGCCATACTTCGCCGCTGCTGCCACTCATCGCTCACCGCTGTCGCCGCTACACAAGGGATGGGTGCCCCCCCGCTCTAATAGCAGGTACCCATTTGTCTATTCGCCCTTTAACGGGCTTTTGAGCCGCTGGGTGGGCGGTAAAGGTAAAGGTTCCCTTGCTCGAAAGCCAGTCAAATCCAACTCTAGGGTTGCGGTGCTCATCTCCGTTTCAAAGCCGAAGAGCCAGCGCTGTCCGAAGACGTTTCCGTGGTCATGTGGCCGGCATGACTAAACACCAAGGCGCACAGAATGCTGTTACCTTCCCACCAAAGTGGTACCTATTTAAAAAAGGTAAAGGTTCCCTTGCTCGAAAGCCAGTCGAATCCGACTCTAGGGTTGCGGTGCTCATCCCCGTTTCAAAGCCGAAGAGCCAGCACTGTCCGAAGACGTTTCCGTGGTCATGTGGCCAGCATGACTAAACACCAAGGCACACGGAACACTGTGACCTTCCCACCCTATTTATCTACTTGCAATTTCTTGCTTTCGAACTGCTAGGTTGGCAGGAGCTGGAACTAGAGACGGGAGCTCACTCCGTCATGCGGCACCCGGGTCTCGAACTGCTGAACTACCGACCTTCCACAGCCTGCAGTTCAGCGTCTTAACCACTTGAGCCACCGCAGTACCTATTTATCTACTTGCAATTTCTTGCTTTCAAACTGCTAGGTTGGCAGGAATAAATACTAATACTGACACATGGCCATAATTTAGACTAGATAATATTAACTAGTTGGTAAAATGACAGAGTTCAGAACTAAACTGAGGTCAACAGAAACTTAAAATAGAGTAGGTACAATCACCCACTTTCCATTTTACTGTCAGCAAGCTGCCATGGTGTTCTGTGTTATTTGTGTCTTTGTACAGTTGCTCACCCCCCCCCTGCCTGTTCGCTAGTATTCTCTTCTGCTGTAATGCCTAAGCCAAACAACTGGAGGATGTATTGGGGGAGTTCGCTTCACTGCCAGCTTGTTGCTTTTAGAGCCTGGGAACTGCACCTGTGTTATGTCTGGAGATAGCCTGGTTCTCAGGGAATGAGCGCGAACCTGTTTTAGCTTCCCCACCAGCGGGAAGGTGACCTATTGGTTATGTACCTGTTTCAAATCCCTTTATTATGCTTGCCCTAACCGTTTGTAGTCAGTTCTAACAAAGAACGTGTTTGAGTATCTTCCAATGCTTTGAAATAAAATCTTGCTTTAAAAACGTGGATTTATTCTCGATGCTTGGGATCCCAACAGGTTGTTAGAACTCTCATCGTTCCTGTCGTCCCGAGTCTGGCGAGACCATGAGCGGGATAGAGGGAACCACACCTAACACGGAGGGGGACACGGGATCGGTCCCAACGACCTCCACAACGTTGATCACCACGACGGCCGCTTCTTCGTTGGTTGCTGTGGGGGGAACGCTTCCCCGGCTACCTGCTTACTTGTCCTGGCCGCCTCCGACCCCTTCGCAATGGGGCCCGCGGCAGACACCAATGCAGGAGGATTGGACTATGTATAATGCCAAGGGCACCAGGGAGGTTTATTCCCGCCGTGGCAGTGGACTTCGGGAGAGTCTGTTCGATAAAGGATTATTTCCCGACACGGA